GGCCGCTGACCCTCTTTCATCGGTTGCGCAGTTTGCAGAAGAAAAGGAACAGAGGAGTTTCTCTCTTCATTCGTTAGGATTACAAGTCATACCCTAATGCTCCGCCTTGGTGTTTGCTCCTGAAATTCATTCCATCGTACATGAGGTCCAAGCAGGCCTTGGCTCGTTCCGTCATTACAATACCGTACCCAGCCTGCCGTCCATCAGCTCGACACTGGTTGTCCAGCCCAGTGTTGCGCCGTAGGCTCATGGTATGGTGCTGCGCACATACGTCCTGAGCTGCTCTCTTCGCCTTCTCGTTGTGATTTCCCCCTTTTCGTTGAACGTCACACCCAATGCGCCGTCCATAATTTGTCGCGATGCCCCTGATTTGGTCCGCCTTTAAAAACGAGTGATCCGCCCATTCGTATTTGTATCGTTGACCCCGGTTGACCGTTTGCCATCAACGCCAGTCCTGCACTGCATCTGCATGAGATTAGCGACATGCTGCTCTGCGTCGGGGCGGTGAGTGGCCCCTACTTCACTTGCGTCCAGATTGTGGCCGGTCTTCACTAGCCGCAGGGGGTGCCGCAGTAGCCGCACTCTTTCCCGGGCAGCACCCACACCTCCTTGCCAGAATCGCGGCAGGTAGGGCATCGAATACCAGGAAGGTATTGCTGTGACTATCATCAGCTCGACAATTCTCAACACACATCGGGATTTTCTAGAACACTGAGCCAATGGCGGAGGGTGACTGACAGGATGCGGCACGCTCGTAGGAGGCTTCTGCTGGCACAAGCTTGACGCCTTGACGTGTTGATGCTGTGCGACGTATACCATCTTGCCGTAAGGATCTGGGATTGGAGGCCGATGGAGGAGAGTCGGGGAGCTACACCAAGAAGCGATTGATACCACGAAGGGAGTGTTGAGGATTCCAGCAGTCGTAGTTCCAAAGGGGCTGGGGGGTTTGGCGTCTGGTGTGGAGCTGAAGATGAAGGTAGATAGATGATGAGAATGGGGTTATGAAGCAGTCGTGATGACGAGGTGCCGCCATGTATATATATACTTTCCTTTGTCTGGGGGAGTAGTGTGGTGAAAGTGTTCGAAAGGCAAGGACCAGGCACCCAAGCGCGGGATGGAGAACCTCATCGATCGAGCCGGCGGCGGGAAGCGGAGGGACGAGCGAAAGCGATGGAGGCCCTGTGGCAAGGAGGCGAGCGAACGGTCAAGCCGCTGTTCCACGTCCCAGGAAAAGTACTGACGGGTGGTGCCCTAGGTG